ACAAGACAAAGTTTAGGATTTGCAACTTGCAATTTTTAACTTAAAAATGCAGCCTTGTTGTTTAATTGAAAGTAATGAAATTAACATGTATAGAAAATACTTAAAAAAACTTCCAAGTCTTGCAAAGTTTGATTTTTGATTTTCTTGATTTCTTGATGATTAAATTTCATATTTTTAATATCTTGATGAAATGTGATCTTTGAACCTCAAATTTGATCAAAGTCAAAGTTTGACTTTTCAGTGTACAATTGACTTTTTCATCGGTTGGCCAAATTTCATTTATCAATCCACTAATCTGGGGAGATGAATTGAAATATGTGATTAAGTTAAAATGATGTACTTGAACCCTTGAGATCATGTTTCGAACCAATAAGTCATGTACTGGGTCAAAAGTCAAAGATTGGTCATTCTCAACCAAAACCCTAATTTGGAGTCTCAGTGCTTCGGAGATAATTTTGTCTGATCAATTCCTTGATAATCCTTGAGCATCGGAGATCCTTTGTGAGGAATGTCTTGAAAAAGAGAGATCACATTTTGGGGTACAACACAAGGAAATGGTAGTTTTCCTACAACCGTAATAATACAATACAATAGATATGGGTGTTTGTGCCTTTTCTAACAAGTTATTTATATTAAAGTGCTCAAGCTTCCTTCCTAGATGTAGATTGAAGTGGTTAATATTCTCTCCACGAACATGAATCTTATAACAATTATCCTTTAAGTTCCAAAATATGTATGAGCTCAATTGGTTTAACATGATTACCAAATAACCTCTTGAGATTTTAACCAGGATAATCTCAAAATCTATCATGGTTTTAACCGGGCTAACCATGAACCAATGTTAAGATCTTCAAATCTAGGAGATCTTTAAATCTAGATGATCTTCAAATCTAAATGAAACTTTCCTTACAAAAATATTTGGCTATAAGCACTAGTGAGAAAAAATAAAAATATTTTTTTAGAGAGAGTGAGTGTTAATACACAATACATGTTCTGGATGATTTGAAACAAGAAATGAGGTATCTATTTATAGGCAAAAGTAATGCCTAAAAAAAAAATCTCACTTAATAAATTTGATCATTGGCTAATAGATTGGACTTTTATTCTAATAAATTATATTTAAAAAATATAGTTGTTGTTGGTCATTTAAAAGGAAAGAAAATATTGCTAGTCGTTGTACATCATTAAGGTGATGTCTAAATAATTTGAGACTTACGTTTGAGTTGTTCTAATAGATTAGCATTAAGGTCTAATCGATTAGATTAGTCAAATATTTTTTCTTTAGCTATTTTCACTGCTCCTAAGTCATTTGGCACAACTTAAAGACACATTTAAAAATATTTTCTCTTAGTTAAGGTATTTGGAAAAATATTTTAGTGTGTGTGCTTGTGTTTATAGTCATGTACTTTTACAAAAAATCCCTTTGCTTTTATAAAAGGTCATTCACTTACTAAAATAGGAGTTTAACTCCTTCTACAAGCTTTTTTCCATATATCATCTTCTGTGTTGACACTGCTTGAGATCTATTAAGGCTTTAGATAATTTATATTGTTCTTCCTTCTTCTGTGATTAGTCAGATTCATCAAATCTTTACAGTTATGGTTTTCATCTTTAACCGCTTAAGTGCTCTTTGATTTATCCTTTGTTGTATTCTTATCATGATGAAGTCTTCCTAGTATTTTACTTTGTAGTTGTCATCATCAAAAGAAAATTGATTACCTGCAAAACAAGGTTCCACAGTTACCATGAAGAGATTTCATTTCATCATCCATGGCTTTGAGTCATTCAATGTTTTTTTGGCTCCTCACAGTTTCCTTGTAATCTCTAGGTTCTTCATCAAGTACCTCACTAGCAGAGATTAAAGCAAACACTATGAGATCTGCATAACCAATTCTATGAGGTAGCTTGATGACTCTTCATAACCTGTCTCTTGCCAACAGGTAGTCATCAACAAGTTTCTTAGTTTCTTCAGCATCTTGCACTTCTTCCTCGACTTCATATGGGTTATGCAATTCAGCATCAATATGCTCCACCTCAACGGGAATCTCTTTATGTCCCAGCTCTTCTTCAAAGATTTATGCATTTCGACCAACACCATCAGTTTTCTTGAACGTCATTTCTGCTTCATTGAAAATCACATCATAACTCATGATACATCTCCTGTGACCTGATTCTAGGCACCAAATTCTTTAGGTTTTTACTCCACCAGGATACCCCATGAACATGCATCTCATAGTTCTAGGTTCAACATTGTCTTTTCTAATGTGAGCATAGGCTACACATCGGAATACTCTAAGTTTGTCGAGATCTGGTGGATGACCCTATCAAACTTCTTCAGGTGTCTTCATCCCCCAAGAAGTCGAGAGACACCTATTTATTAGGTATATTGTAGTCACTGAAGCCTTTTCCCAAAACACCTTATTCAATCCAGCACTAACCAACATGAATTTAACCCTTTCAAGGATTGTTCAATTGAACCTCTCGGTCATACCATTTTACTAAGGAGCACACATAATAGTCTTGTGCCTTGAAATACTAGACATACTACAGTAACTGTCAAAAGCTTCATTCCAGAACTCAAGGAAATTATCAATTATTAACCTCTTGACCTTCTTGTCAGTCTAATTTTCGACCAGAGTCTTCCATCTTTTAAAATTTTCAAAAGTTTTATCCTTAGTCTTCTAGATGAATACCCATAGCTTTCTAGAATAATCATCAATTATGGATAGAAAATACTTTGCACCTGAGTACGAGGGATTCCTTGTGGGTCCCCAAAGATCAGAATGAATATAATAAAGGGATCCATGTGTTCTTTATTTGCCTTTGTTAAACTTCACTTTGTAGGATTTATAAAACACACAAGATTCACAGAATTCCAGCTTTTCGACTTTCTCACTACCTAACGAATTATGTTTCCCTGATTCGGCAAGAACCATTTCACTGACATGGCCCATTATCATGTGCCACACTTTTGTTTGTGACACAGGCTTCGTGGATACAAAATCTACTGATCCACTTATGACCTTATGCTTAAGGGTATACAAGCTTTGGTTTTTCACGCCTCTCAAGACATCCTTCGATCCTTTCATGACTTTCAAGATACCTTGCTCTCCTCTGACATATCCTTTCTTGTCGAATTATCACCAATAAGAAATCAAATTTCTCTTCAGATCATGTACATACCTGACACCAGTCAATAACTTTATTGACTCATCATGGAGCTTGAATCTTACATATCTAATACCTGTAATTTTGTAGGCTTTTTTGTTTCCTAGTAGCACTGATTCACCATCTTGATCACATAATTCTTCAAAGAAGTCTTTGTTTGGAGTCATGTGACAAGTACACCCTGAATCCATAATCTACTCCTTGTTAGAGTCGCTGCTTGAAACCACGAGAACATCAAATGATTCATAATCATCTTGCACCATAATTGTGTTGTCATATTATCCTTACCTTCGTGACTATTCAAGCATTCAGAAAACATCTTTCTTATGTGATCCTCCTTATTACGGTGGTAAATCTAATTACAGAAACATCACTAGACTTATAAAAATAAATAAAATAGTAGTTAAAAGTCTCATGTGATAAAAAAATCATACATAAAAAATTATTTTAACAACATTTAATATTAAAATATTAAACAAATTGAATACCTTATTTTTAAATCAAAATAATTGTTTTTTATTTTCCATTAAAAAATAATGAATCTACAAACAATAAAAATAAAATCTATTTTTTAATGGACAGTGTAAATCATGTTCATCAATTTGCATTATAATTTTTAAATTTTTTTTTTTTAAAGTTATAGTCCAAACAATAGATGAATGATTGAATTGTATATCAACACTTATTAGTAATATGCATCAAAATTAAAAGTGTTAATAAATAATAAATAAATAAATTTAGAAATTAAACTAATGAGATAAATATTTTAAAAAATTTTAAATGTTTAAAATTATAGAAAAATATAATAAATCAAATAAATTTATTATATGTTTTATAATGGGCAAAAACTATATTAATTATCTAAAAAAAATAATTAAATTTATAATTTAAATTTATATGAACTCTTATATTTAAAATAATTTTTATATTTTAATACTTTTTAAATTTATATGAACTTTTGCCTTCTAAACTTTTATTATTAAATGTAAATACCTTATAATAATTTAAAACTTTATTTATTCACCAAATTATTACTTTCAATTTCGTTTGGTAGTTATTAAAAAAAGCGAAGACAATAAATAAATAAATCTAATTTAATTTTTGGAATTAAATGTTATTTAATTTTTCATAAAATTTAATCAATAATATTAGTCTTTTGTTACATTTTTTTAAACCGATTTTTTCATTTTTTATTTTTGAATCATGATTGAATTATCATGTGTATTATTTATGTCATACAAATATTTATTTATATAATTATTTCAAATAACACAGAAATAAATATTTATTTATTTAAATTAATTTAAATTAAATAATAATTAATTAATTTACTAGCAATTTAATTAATTATTAAAATATTCAATCAATTAAAGTTAAATAATTAATTAATTTTTAAAGTATTAATTAATTCAAATTAAATATTAATTAATTAATTTAATAGTAATCCAATTAAATATTAATCAGTTTAATTCTATTCAATTAATTATATTTAAGAATTGTTTTTATTAATTTTATTTTTAAATTTATATTATTTGAAATAAGTATTTTTATTTGTGTGTTATTTAAATGTTATTGATAAGGGATTGGTTGGGCAAATAGAAACCGCTGTCCCTAAACGCGGTTTTCAATACCCCTAGACAATACATGTGGCGACAACATGCATAATAAAAAAACAGCGGCGACCGCAACAATAAACTGCAGTTCCAGCTAAGCTAAAAGAAAACTCATAATATATGTGACCACTTTACTCAACTCATTTCCATTAGTATATAACTTTTCAGAATTTGCATCTTAACCATAAACTTCATATTCATCTTAACCATAAACTTCAAATGGCTTCGCTCATACTTTTAATTTCAGACCTTCTTTGGATCCATGAGAGGGATGCTACAGCTCTACTAGCAGCGTATCCTCCATCTTCTCTTTCTTCTTCTTCATCGGCTGCTGCTGTTGCTCACAGAAAAAGTTTGAAAGATGAGGAAACTGTGATTGATAATACTCCTTTGGAATTTGAATCCAGGGTATGTGTGGATTTTGTTTGGCCTTAAACTTCTTCAACTTTCATTAGGAGATGAAAACTGATGAATTGTACTGTGTAGTTCTGTTTAATCTTCTTTAGTTTTATTATTAGGAGATGAAACTTTGTCAATCATTGTGTTAAGATCTAGACCAAATGATTCATGCATGGTGTGTCCGAGTATTGTAAATTTTAGAAATACAGAATTTTACCTCATTTTTTTATTAGATATTTCAATCTAATACATTTTATAAAAAAATTGAATTATTTAAATAGTTAATAAACTCAATCATTTTATTTAAATAACTTAAATTTAATTTAAAATTAATTTAGAATCAATTTTCTTTTATAAAATGGTTTTTCATTAAAAAGAAATCAATTGAGAGTAAAAAAATTATAAAAATTAAAAATAATATTTTTTCAAAAATTAAAAAAAAACATTTTTTAAAATTTAAAAAATTGGAAAAGAATACATATCTTTTCCGAAAATAAATTTCCCCCCGAAAACAAAATAAAATTCGTCTGCTATGGTTACTCTTGACGTTGTTGAAGAGGATGTTACTTGTTTTAGTAGTACTGTTTATTGTGACAAATGCCGACTTGTTGGTGAGTCGAACAATAGAGTCAGAATCTATTTATTTATTCAATTTACTCAATTTTTTATTTATTTATTTGTCTATTCACTAGGCTCTATCTTATGTATGTTTTTTTTTAGAATTTTATTTTGTACCCTGTTATTATTATTTAATATTATTATTACAAAAAGTTAAAGATAAAAGTCTGAAGCATCGTTATTACACAAAAGCTAAAGATATTGAGTAGAGATATTCCCTCAATTCCATAATGAATGGTTTATTTAGAATAAAAATTGTTCTAAAGTAAAAAAAAATATTTTAATTTTTAATGTGATAATTTGACTTTTATCTTCTAATTAATATTTCACTATTTTTACAATTTTATTTTTACGATTCTTAGTATTGAATAAAGGGTACGTTAATAAAAGTATTATTCTCTTATGTATTTTTTTTTATTATGAATAAAACGGTTACCGGATCATTCATTGTAGAATGAATGGTGTATTTAATTATTTTTTATGAATTTTATTATTGATTATTATTGTTATTTTGGATTGGATCTGTGGCTGACTCAGCGTCGAGCACGACTCAATCTCTTTTCATATTGAGGACGATTTAAAGTGTTTGTCCAATCCATTAGGACCAGTGGAGAACACGTTCTTCACCTGAGGACATGTTACCAACTGAATGCGCTGATCTCGCTCTAGCGGAGGGACCGCTCTGCCCTCCGTATCGGGCAAGTTTGTTCATCACTCGTGAATTACGGAGCAGTTGATCCAGGACGATGGTCACGTGCTGGTCATCCCCACTTTCACGTAGGAATTTGACAGTCATTTGTTGTGGGCATGAACACTCGGCCTTCTACGGTGACCATTGATCCAGCGCTGGAGGCACACTATAGAAACCCTCACCTGCAGGAGGGTAATGTATTCTACTCTCTAACCCTTATTCACTTACCTCTTCACCCGAACTAACTTAAGCATCAGAGTGTCTGCAGATACACTTTGTAATACCCTAATTTTCCTCCGAATAATTTTAAATAAAAATCAGCAATTTAAAAACTTCACCCAACTAGGATGTCACACTCAACAACAATATAACTTATTCATTCATAGTAACATGTAACACATACAATTTCTAAATTTATAATAATAATAACGAGTAATAAACATATTCAAGTTTAACTCTTTGTATTGCAGCAGAAAGACATCAACAAAGTATTTATTCAACATAAACATGTTATCCAACACAACTCATGTTATAACGTAATTATAAAGAAAATTGCAACAGAGAGATATCATAAAAATCTCTAATAGCATAGAATAATAATTAAGCGTTCACCCCCCCCCCCCCCCCAGTGTTACATACCAGACCAAACGCCGACTCTAATGAAAATAAAAGGAAAACTTCATCTTCCCCTCACTCCACCGCCGAACTACTCCTGATTATTTGCATGTTACCCACATAGAGACAACATTCAAACAATAAGGGTGAGATATCATAATTATATAATGGAATGTATAATATATTGTAACATACATCCCAACAACATATCACACCCATACAATGCAACAAAACTATACCAATAACATACACATATAATATACTAACACATATAACATACACAGATAATCACATGCTAACACATATGACATACACAGATAATCGCATGCTAACACATATAGCATACACAGATAATCACATGCTACCACATATAGCATACACAAATAATCACTTTCTAACACATATAGCATACACAACCAATATGCAATGCAATGAGACTCAACAACATCGACTCAATACATGTGGTACCAAGATGTAAATTATTATACGACTCAATGCATGTGGTATCATCGGTTCACAAGAACCCACCAATAAATCCCCGTTTGAATTCAGTTACATCGCTCACACCCTGTCGAGCACACATCATCCTACTCCTCGTCGCTCACACCCCACCGGAAACACGACCGATTCTCATCTCTCACACCCCACTGGGCACACATTCATAAGATTCCCGAATATAATCCAGATATGTCACTCACACCCATTGGGCACACGACAATCTCACTCTTGTACATACCATGAATACATGACATATATAGACTCATGCAACACCAATAATATGCACATAGACCTTCACCATGATCGGTGCACTTCACTAATACCGGCCACCACACATCAAACAACTGACAAAACATGCAGCAACAACCACACATCGATATAGCAAGCAATTACAATGCCTTTACATAGATTCCACAAAACAATATAACTCATTATATACCAAACCCGCACATATTATGCATATAACACAAAAATACGCACAAATACATTCACCATAGTCTATGTACCTTGCCACTAATGGTCACTATGCACCAAACACCTGCCAAAACATGCAGCAATAACAAACCAACGATATAGCAAACAATAACATTACATTTGCACACGTCCCACAAAATAACATAACTCGACACACACCAAAAAAATTTCATGCGTCGAATAGTTGGAATTTTGATACCAAAAATATTTTCAAGTTAAAGTAAGCTAAATTAGCTTTCCAACAATTCGAACTACGCATCAATCGAACACCTGGAACTAAAGTTATAAAAATTTCAAGATTTTCAAAAAATGCAAACACCGGCATCATACACTGACACGACAAAACCTAATTACACACCAATTAAATTTATTTCCACAACATGAAACCATTTTTACAAGAAAGAACATTGTATTAGCTTTCCCAGATTCAAACAGTGCATCAAACGAACACCTGAAACTCAAGTTATGAATTTTTGAAGTTTTTACAAATTTTCTGACACATCAAGGTAACGGGTTACATCATTCATGTAACTGGTTACTTCAGTCCCAGAAGGTGAAAACCCCAATTTTTCTTCTATGTAACTGGTTACCTCAACCATGTAGTCGGTTACATCACTCAAAATGTCCAAAAAAACATATTTTCATTGTAATTGGTTACCCAAACCATGTAATTGATTACCTCACTACTAGAAGCACTTTTCTGCAATTTTTTAACACGAAAATCACTTTTCACGTACACCCAAACATCCCCAAACTCAATATCCACACATTACATAAAAACAGAATCCAAGTTCAATTCCTAATCACATACATCAATAGCAACATTCCAATTCACTACATAAACAATCACATAAATGATTTTACATAATCAAGTCACATTTACATACATTGACATAAAACCACAATTCAAAATTTCACCCAACATCATCATCAAACAAAATTTTATCATTGAGGGTTTAACACATGAAGTAGAATTAGGTTCTGACGATTAATTATCCTTATCCACCGATCATTATACTACTCATTAGATAGTTAGAACTTCACCCTTACCTTGGATTTCCTAGCTTAAGTTCCCTTCTCTTCTACAATGAAAATCTTCTCCAAACTGTAGCTTCCTCTTCTCTCTTTCTTTCTCTTTTCTCCAATTCCACGATCGTAACCATGAAACAAAGCTCTCTAATTCTCCTTTTGTCAAGCTTACCCCTTAGACCATTTTTATAATATTCCACTTATGCCCTCACTTAACCTCTTACAATTACCAACAAGTCCTGAATATCTCCACACTAATATTACCTCTATTATAATTATTATTAATTCTAAATAATCTCAACTAAATTATTTAAATTAAAATACTTCTAATTATCACATAACTTCAACACTAGCCCACAACACACATTATTCAACAATAATTCACATATATCCACGAATAAATAACAATTAACCAATTAAATAATTAAAGGAAAATACTAACATGTGCCCTAAGGGCACATGTGAAGAAATAATTTGTAGCAATATTCTCTTGAAATGCGTGTATTCAACTTTTTGAAACTTTAAATATGACTTTATTACACTTAAAATTTTCTAATTATAGTACTATTAACATGTGTCCTAAGGGCACATGTTAGCATGACCCATAACTAAATATAATTTTTGAGGTGTTACAGCTCTCCCTCACTTAAAATATTTTCATCCTCGAAAATTTACCTAATGTAAGCAACTCTAGATACGACTCTCGCGTCCTACTCTCCTACTCCCACGTCATGTTTGACAACATTTCTAATACCACTAACCAACATTCCACATCGTTAACCATAATAATCCAACAAGATGCAATGCTACCGAGTTATGAATGCACAAATTCATTTCACTCCTTGACCATCACCACAGAATACATGAACTATCACCTTAGGATATCATTCACTCTTGAACCGGAACACAACCAGATCGTTACCATCACCATAAGGTAGCACTTCTCTAATTTCCCTTCATAAGAACGAGCTACTCGCACCCGAACCCTTGCCATAGGAAACGAGGCAACACCATAGTTTAAGAACGTAGAGTTCCATGACATGAACACCGTCTCTATCATTTCATTACACAATAACACCGTCATAAGTAAAGCTACATGAAAAATACTCACACACACAACTTCCTAAAATAAACAGAGTCGCTGCCTAACTTTATTTATCTCAAAAATAGAGAAAGGAAAATATAGAGAAAACCTCAAAATGGGAAAAAAGAACATGGTCTCACAACCAAATATCGGGTAAGTGAGTCAATTACACAAGGGGAAGGTATTAGCATCCCTCACGTATGTGGTACTTCACGATATCCACTCTTATTATTCTAATCAATGGGTGTGTATATATCTATAGCTTACTTGCAAAAGGATAATGTACACATAAATTCATTGGGAAAGAGACAAGATTTTTATTAGTGTGTTCTCCCGAGCTTTGCAACCCCATGCCTACGTATCTCTGAAAGAAATCAGAACACTATAGTTCTTCTTAAAAATATTTGTTTGTTATGTGTTTTTTCTGGACGATGCTAAGTTTGCATTCTAATAGTTAATGTTTGCCGCTCAACCTTTGGAGACTCACGCGTTGTTGTATTGTGTATAATGGAATTAATGGTGTCCTCTTTGGAAAAAAAAATTAAGGAGAAAAGACAAGTGGCAAAATCATTTGGATTTGGTTTGTGTTTTTGTTAGAAGAGAGATAATAAGTGGACCCTCATACAAGGAGACACTCATCACCTTCACACCTTTAATTTATGAAAGGGGTTTTGAACATTATTTAAGTGTTTTTGGATTTTAATTGAGAAAATGTTTTACTCTTAAAGAGATGCAATGCAAAAGAAAATAAAGTCTAAAGGGAGACTTGATATCTTAATGTTGTCATGCAAAATGGCCCCAAGGTTGAGATTGAAGGGAATCTAACCTAATGTTGTCATGCAAAGTGGCCTTAAGATTGAGATTGAAGGGAATCTAACCTAATATTGTCATGCCATGATGGACTTAGAGTTTGGATTAAATGAGTAACTTCTACCCTAATGTTGTCATGTTTGGATTAAAGTCCTAATGTCTATTTTGATTCAAGTCTTAATCAATGATTTAGATGAACCAAGTTAGCCTAAGGAATCATATACATCACACAAGTAACGATCAACCAAATGAAGATACAAGAACCAAGTGGAAGGAGTTGACCAAGTCAAGCTCAAAGAAAAATGATCAAAAGTTAATCACATGAACATTAAATGCTCACAACCAAACAAGATATGTCATAAATTCAAACAAAGAAAGTCAAGATCAAATACATAAGTAAACAAGTAAAACATGCCTCAACTATCATGGTAAGGTCAAATTGAAAACCCTAAGGTGACTATAAGTTAAATCAAATCATCATGATTCAAAGTTGAAGTAAAAGAAGAAACATACATCAAAGTCATTCTAAAGTCCTA